GTTGTTGTTGTTGTTGTTGTTGTTTCTCCGCCAAAAACCGGACTTGGTTGTTTTGTTTCCAGTCGGTCGGATTGCTACGTGATGATGGATTTCGCAAAATGCACAGCCGTAGAAATGTACTGGGTAGGTACATTGCCGAAAAAGGCCAGACCATTGTTATGTAATGCCGAGTCACGCATTCGATGGTAATCATACTCTGTTAAGTGATGGTTTGCGAAATCGTGAATGGACTTAACGAACCAAGTTTCGATTTATGGGGGAAGCACGCGAGTCGAAGCAACACTTAGGGCGGTAGCAACAAGACATGGGATGACTTGATCGACTGGTGGACGGGCATTTGGGTCGCTACAGTGGTCATGACTGTCCGTCCAATCGATCATCCCGCCCACGTGGTTGAGAGGGCGTTTTTCAGACGGGCAGTTCTGAGCAATGCCGTGCCGGTGCTGTACATGGTACGATACTGGCGCCATTGAAATAGTACCAGTACTGTATAGTGTCACGTCAGCTGTATGCTGTCGCTTTGATCTTGGATCATCATAAGGATGGGTGTTGTCTTTGTCGTTTTTGAGTTCGGTAGTGTACTGTAGAAGGAGGATGGTTTTTGTAGCTGTAGGCTGTACCGGCACTGTACCGGGTCAGGTGTTCCTTACTGTACGGTACACGGTACAGTACCTTTATGAGAAAGGATGGTTCAAATTATGATGGCTACAACAGACAACAGCTACTATATTGTGTTGCATTATTTATACTGCTAAACTTTGTGAAGTTCCAAACACAATTTACAAATAATACGATTGTGGCATAGGACTGCAAGGTGGTGGCTATAGCAGTTTCGTTCTTGATGTATCAATGGATCTAGTAGTAGTGGTAGTAGTAATGTCTTGTTTGTGTGCTGCACAGTACATAGGTCGTCCACCGTAGCTAGCTCGTTTGGTGGCTTGACGTGTGTACTGGCTACTGTATTTCATAATGTTGTTTTGTGCGTGGGAGTGCTCCCCTGATGTACAAAACTAAACGATCCAGTCCTCCATCATGAGGAATTCAATCGTCTCATCTTCAAGGGACCCTTCCTCCATGTGGACACAGCAGGGACAGTAGGAAGTGAAGAAGATGGAGTTGTCGTGATTGTCCTGCGTGGTTGTGGAGAATCATCGTCCAAGGTGGGAATGTTGGGAAAGCCCAAACAAGAGAATGGGGTTCTTCTTTGGACTGGTGGCAAAGCTGGCATGGTGTCCTCTTCTTCGCGAATTTGGGTTCTTCGATAATTGATCTTCCGAAAGGGGTTGTAGGATGATGCTTTTGGTAGAGATAGGGTGGTGTTTTCTTCACCCTCGTTGCTATTCAGAAGATTCGAATCCGAATCCAAACCCGAATCCAATCGCGGAAAAAGTGGAGGCTCGGTGATCCACAAAATGTCCCTTTTGGGTTGTTCTCGAGGCGGTGTTACTGTGGAAGGCCGACGCTTTCTCTTCATAATCGGTGGTGTTTGGAAGGGTCCTCTTGGGAGTGTTGAAAAAGGCTGGATTCTTTGGCTGTCGATGACGCGATTCTCCGTGTCATCCAAGTTGCTTGAAAAAGTGACTATTTGAGCATCAATGACTTGAGCACTGTTCGAAGTTGGCAAAGTTGCTTCTTCTAACGACATGGCGGCGAATGAGAGTCTATTGGGAGCCCCACTGTCACGCTGGATATTTTGTCCTGCTTGGTGCTGATGATCCACAGGTGTCATTGTTGGCATTTCCGGAAGAAACAGAATGATGTGTCGATGTTGCAAGTTTTTGTTGTCACGCGGAAGGCAGGGTGCGGTTTAGCGCAACTCCGGTTCAAATCTTCGTTGTCGGTCGCGCGGACTTGGTTTTGGATTGAATGATTGGTTTTGCAAGGCTTTCGAGTCATGCTCTTACCCCGGCCGGTGAGATTTGCGAGAGAACTAGCTTCTCCTTTTTCAAAAAATGACACAACTGCGAGCAAAAATGGCTTCGCTGGCTGTCGATTGGCACTGGTATTTTCCTCTCGCTGACGTGCCGGTACAGCTCCATTTAACAAGTTGATCAGATGTGCCAAAAAATCAAGTTGGCGACGAAAGAAGACGCAATAAAAATGGGAAGAGAACCAGTGTGGATGAGAGGGAGTCTGAAAGCGTGGTGGGAGGTCGTTTTAAAAAGTAATATTAAAATGAACAAAGATACTCGCTCTTCCCATGACGATACAATCTAGTTCATCAACTGAAATTTGGGTGCTCGACATTGGATTGAGTGATTGAACGAGTAGCGAGACGATAATTTGATGTCAGAACGAACAATCTAAATTTGGCCTGAAGTACATTTTACAAAGAATCCTCTTGTGGTTCCTTCAACTTGGGCCAAGTGGAAGAATGAATAATCAAACTTGAATGAAACATGTTCGCCTGAAAAGACTGAGTGAATCGACTGAATGAATGCCATCAAGCCTTTGTGCTTGCCAAACGTCATCATCATCAAGTTTGCTTGTGCTGTATCTGCAAGCCGAGACTGAGTGCCTTGGAAACGCGAACGAAAGGCAAGTGAATCATTACTAAACCAATGAGGAACTTCATTTCTTTATGCAGTTTATACTTCCTCATCCAACAAATGCAATCCGCAGGATGTTCTGCATAGTGTCCTCTGATGATTCGTACCTGGTACCTCCGCTGCGTGAGATTAATGTATTGTAGAAATGTTGAAGTAAATAAATGAATTTTAAAGTCAATCAATCAATCAGTCACCAAGATATCAACACGGGTCATCGATTTCAGATGATCATTGATTCATTCATGCATTCATGCATTCATTCTCCGTTGTACACTTATGGCATTGCATTGATTGCAATCAGCGGCTCCGATGCCGACGAGACAAACCTCTATTCTTACGATGTCAAGCTGTTCTGTTCTAGATTGCCATCACAAATACGAAACGATATCTTTTGACAAATAATATTTGCAATAGCATTCAGCAAAGCTGTCTCGTATGACCCTTCGCTGCTACTACATGTTTTCTAAAACATAGATTACAGTGGATCTATGCTTCATTCATTCGTCCAAGGCTCACGTCTATTGGAAGGAACGTAGTTGATTGTTGTGGTTTCATATTGTATCCATCCATCCATCCATCCATCCAAAAGTAGATGAACCATCCAACAAACCTCTAGTCAGCACTCGCAAGGATCCATGATACAATATCGGTACGGGATAATCAAAGAACCGAACCAATTATATCAAATCAGGATGGTGACGCCATAACTCGTTTATTGTTGTCTCTCTTTCCTCGAGATAGATTCTTTCATTGGTTCGCTGATTCAATGGTTAGGTTGTAGAGATTTCTTCTGTCCTAGGAAGCTGGCTCCTACCGGCACAGATGTGATACTATCACTGCAGGATAATTTTTTTGTCTCTTGCTTGAAAGAAACAGAAACTTTTATGGATACCACGATTGATTGGGTGAAACCGACGGTGTATGGTGAGTATCTTTGTTGGCCACTCCCAGGTAACTGTTGTCCGTTGAAGCGCACCTCACAAACGTGGGAAATAGCACTGTAACGTCATGGGAGGGAAACGCCAATATCAAATACAGTACCGGTACCGGTAGCTCCCATGCCTCTCAAGCGGATATGAGTCAGTCAGTCTAGTGTCCACCTTCCCCACGCGATGAGTAGATTGTACAGATTCCTGGTACTTATTCCGGTGGCCATGCAGTTTTTGGGAAGCAAAGGTCACGGCGGAGAAATAGATTCACGATTAAGTACCAGGCCTGAATTGGACGATCGATCGATGGTCATTTGACATGGAATTTAGGTTAAAATGGGGAAATGTGATTTGAAATCCAAGGAATATCGGAGGTTGATGACAAATGCTTCCACCAAAATGGAAGCAAGTGAGATTCCATCATGTCAATCATGGGTGTAACTTGCGCTCGTGTTCCGTACATTGTTTTGTGCAAGAGACAGTTGCGCTAAAAAATAGGAATTTTAGCCAGCTGCTTTTTCGAAGCCCGCCAAATCATTAGAGAGAATCAAGTTTGTCGATCCAAATGAAACGGAGATTCCGTTACAATCCCCCACTTGTTTTTGGTTTGAAATTCCAATCCGTAGAAAATTGACATACATACGTAAAAGTCTCGTACATCTCTACCAATCTATGTGAATCTCTGTAAAGTGACTACTACGCGGGTTCTCCAGGGATCGTTTTCTGGCGGGAGAGGTTTTTCCTTGGAAACAACCATAGCATCGTCGATAGCTTGAATTTGTTTAGTTTGCATCGTAAACTAGTAAATCTGAGTTCTTCGTTGTTGGAAAGAAGGCGAATTTGCATTAAAGTAAAACTTCAAAGGATATTTTGTTTCGAGCTAAGGAAGGCTGTAAGGATGAAAGTTTCTCTACCAACATTGAGAAATCTATTGCTTTGGCCTGTTTTGGCTCTTGCCGTTGCCGGTGGTGGAAGAGGCAGCGGTAGTTTTGTTAGTGGAACCAGTGATGGTCTTGCTGATGGTGAACTCAACGTTGTTGGGGAAACTATCCAGAGCAAGATGTGTCATCGTCCAGAGGAGATGGTTCGTGTTGAAGCAACGTGTGCTGGAGCACCCCTCGTGCACGAAGCTTTGCGTTACGAGTTGCTCGGGGACGGTAAAGTCAAAGTGGACTATGCCAACTGGGTTGGTCATGATATTGAATGGACTTCGGTTATATCTAGGAGTAATGGAGTTTTAAGGGTGACACCCAAAAAGGCTCTTCTTGCTGGAGAACGTTCCGAACCCGTTATTCTTACCTGTGGGGGTCATGCCAACGTTGCTATGGACGTTGTAATTGGCCTCAATATGGTCGCTGAAAATAAGGATACCTGTACCGGTTGGGATCCTGTCAGCGATGTTTGTAAATCCCGTGTTGTAATTTCTTGCAACCCCTGTGAGGACGATGACGAAGAAGTAGATATCACCCAAGCTGATGACGAGACAGTTGCTGGTGCTGTGCAAGGGGCTTCGACCGAAGCAACTGCGGAAGCAGGTGCAACCGGTTTGGAGGCTGCAAGCGTAATGTCGAGAATGACTGTTGGAACCGATCTTGGTTCTTGTGTTACTCTCGAATCGCAAGGTGGAAAGGGTTCTACTTGTGGAAATATGGAAAATATTGCTGTCAATTTGCCTATTCAGGCTTCGCCAAATGCGGTGGATGCCACTACGGTTGACATTGCAATTGATCAAGCTTTCACAGACACTACTGTTACCAGGTTTGCGTTTTATTACCAGAGTGGCAGTGGGCAGTATGAGTGTGACGTTGACGAAGACGTTCCTGCCAATGCGAATTGGAAAAAAACAATTTCTGCTTTTTGTTATGGTGATCCGGTTCAGAAGACTCCTCTCAAACTTTATCTTTGGATGTGCGGCAAAAAGGGGGATGGCAATTGTAATTATTGTCAGACTCCGGGCAACGACGAAAACTACGTTGAGTACGAGTTAATGATCGACTGTGATTGTATTAATGGCGTTCCTACCTCTGGACCGACATCGAGCCCCACCTTCGCTCCTACCTCTGGACCTACATCGAGCCCCACCTTCTATCCCACTTCGGTACCAACAAGTGGACCAACTTCTGGACCAACCTCTGGACCCACTGAGGGGGCATTGGGCGTTCCACCTACCACCGGTCCCACTTCTGGTCCCACTTCTGGTCCCACTTCTAGTCCCACGTTCGCTCCTACTTCCGGTCCGACCTCGGGTCCAACGTCTCATCCGACTTCTGGACCAACTTCTGGACCAACTTCCGGAGCAACTAGTGAGCCTACTAGCGGTCCTACAGCCAGTCCGACTGCAGGTCCCACTTCAGGACCAACTTCTGGACCTACTCCTGGACCTACCTCTGGACCTACTAGTGGACCAACCTCTGGACCAACCAGTGGTCCCACAAGTGGACCTACATCTGGTCCAACTGAAGGTCCTACCTCTGGACCCACCAGTGGACCTACCTCTGGACCTACTAGTGGACCAACCTCTGGACCAACCAGTGGTCCCACAAGTGGACCTACATCTGGCCCAACTGAAGGTCCTACCTCAGGACCAACATCCGGGCCGACATCAGGACCAACTGAAGGTCCTACCTCCGGCCCCACGTCTGGACCTACTAGCAGTCCTACCACTGGACCTACTTCGGGCCCTACAAGTGGTCCTACGTCTGTCCCAACTGATGGTCCTACCTCTGGGCCAACTTCTGGACCAACATCTGGACCAACCAGTAGCCCCTCAACAGGGCCTACGTCCGGACCGACTTCGGGACCCACCTCTGGACCGACTGTAGGACCTACTGCTGGACCTACCTCTGTACCTACCTCTGGACCAACCTCTGGACCAACTAGTAGCCCAACAGCTGGACCTACTAGTGGACCCACTAGCGGCCCAACTTCCGTCCCAAGTGATGGTCCCACATCGGGACCAACATCCGGACCGACCTCTGGACCGACTAGTGAACCAACATCTGGGCCAACTTCGGGACCGACCGCTGGACCAACATCTGGACCAACCAGTAGTCCAACAGCTGGACCTACTTCGGGACCTACCAGCGGACCTACTTCCGTCCCAACTGCCGGCCCTACATCAGGACCAACTAGCGGACCTACCTCTGGCCCTACTTCTGGTCCAACATCTGCCCCTACTTCTGGTCCAACATCTGCCCCTACTTCTGGTCCAACTTCCGGACCAACCAGTGGGCCTACTTCTGGGCCAACTTCCGGGCCAACATCGGGACCGACCAGTAGCCCAACATCTGGACCTACTAGCGGACCTACTAGCGGACCTACTTCCGTCCCAACTGCCGGTCCTACATCAGGACCAACTAGTGGACCTACTTCAGGACCTACATCTAGGCCTACATCTGAACCTACATCTGAACCTACCTCAGGACCTACCGCTGGACCTACTTCTGGGCCTACTTCTGGGCCGACTGGAGGTCCAACTTCGCTTCCTACATCAGGGCCCACTAGCGGCCCTACCTCTGGCCCAACCACTGGACCAACATCTGAACCAACTAGCGGACCTACATCTGGACCAACCAGTGAGCCTACATCTGGACCAACCAGCGGGCCTACATCTGGACCCACTTCGGAACCAACTTCGGATCCGACAAGTGGACCTACATCTGGGCCTACATCTGGACCTACAAGTGGGCCAACATCCAGTCCTACCGCTGGACCAAGTTCCGGTCCTACATCTGGTCCCACAAGCGGGCCAACAGCTGGACCTACATCTGGCCCAACAAGCGTACCAACCTCTGGACCCACCTCTGGACCTACCTCTGGCCCAACAAGCGTACCCACCTCTGGACCTACCTCCGGACCGACCTCAGAACCGACCAGTAGCCCAACTGCTGGACCTTCTTCGGGCCCAACAAGTGGACCAACATCTGGACCCACAAGTGGACCTACAAGCGGACCAACAAGCAGTCCAACCAGTACACCCACCTCTGATCCAACTAGTGGGCCGACAGCAGGACCAACTTCTGCACCCACCTCCGGGCCTACAAGCAGTCCTACAGATGGTCCAACAGTTGGACCAACAAGTTCACCTACATCTGAGCCAACAGTTGGTCCAACAAGCGGGCCCACTTCTGGTCCGACTAGTGCACCCACATCCGGACCTACCTCTGGACCAACCAATGGGCCCACATCTGGACCCACAAGCGGACCTACGTCTGGTCCAACAGCTGGACCAACAAGTAGTCCTACATCTGGACCGACCAGTGAACCAACTTCTGGGCCCACTAGCGGCCCATCCAGCGGCCCTACTTCTGGTCCCACAACTGGCCCAACAAGTGTACCTACATCTGGACCAACAAGCCGACCCAGTTTGGGACCCACCAGCGGACCAACAAGTGGCCCAACCAGCGGACCTACATCTGGGCCTACATCCGGGCCTACATCAGGACCAACCAGTGGACCTACATCAGGACCAACAAGTGAACCCACAAGTGGCCCAACAAGCGGACCTACATCTGGTCCTACTTCTGGACCTACTTCTGGACCAACTAGCGGTCCTACTTCAGGACCTACTTCTGGACCCACTTCAGGACCAACATCTGGACCAACATCTGGACCTACAAGTAGTCCAACTTCTGGACCAACGTCTACACCAACAAGCGGGCCTACCTCTGGACCAACATCCACACCAACAACTGGGCCGACAGGTGGACCAACTTCCGTGCCCACCTCTGGACCTACAAGTGGACCTACCTCTGGCCCTACTTCTGTTCCAACATCTGGTCCAACTTCTGGTCCAACATCTGGCCCTACTTCTGGTCCAACTTCCGGACCCACAAGTGGTCCTACTTCTGGTCCCACCTCAGGCCCCACATCTGGTCCAACTAGCAGACCTACATCTGGACCAACTTCTGGACCAACTTCAGGCCCCACCAGCGGACCTACATCTGGACCCACCTCTGGCCCAACATCTGGGCCTACCAGTGGACCTACCTCTGGTCCAACTTCTGGACCAACGTCTGGTCCAACTTCGGGACCTACTTCCGGCCCAACTTCTGGACCAACCAGCGGACCTACCTCTGGTCCAACATCTGGACCAACGTCAAGCCCTACCTCTGGTCCAACAAGCGGGCCCACATCTGGTCCAACAAGCGGACCCACAAGTGGTCCAACCAGCGGACCCACATCTGGACCAACTTCTGGACCTACCTCGGGCCCAACTTCTGGACCAACATCAGGTCCAACTTCTGGACCCACATCTGGTCCTACATCCGGGCCCACAAGTGGACCAACTTCTGGACCAACCAGCGGTCCAACCTCTGGACCTACTTCTGGTCCTACGTCAGGGCCAACTTCTGGTCCTACGTCAGGGCCAACATCTGGACCTACATCAGGGCCCACAAGTGGACCTACCTCAGGCCCAACTAGTGGCCCAACTTCAGGTCCAACTAGTGGCCCAACTTCAGGTCCGACTAGTGGACCAACTTCTGGACCGACCAGTGGCCCTACTAGCGGCCCTACTTCAGGACCAACTAGTGGCCCTACTTCAGGACCCACATCTGGCCCTACTTCAGGACCAACTTCTGGACCAACTAGTGGACCCACTAGTGGACCAACTAGTGGCCCTACTTCAGGACCCACATCTGGCCCTACTTCAGGACCAACTTCTGGACCAACCAGCGGACCAACCAGCGGCCCTACTTCTGGACCAACTTCTGGACCAACCAGCGGACCTACATCTGGACCAACTTCTGGGCCAACCAGTGGACCTACCTCTGGCCCCACCAGCGGACCTACTTCTAGTCCAACCAGTGGACCCACATCTGGACCCACAAGCGGCCCAACCAGTGGTCCGACCAGCGGACCTACATCTGGACCA